CTTCCTCGCAGGCTCTATCATTCGGCAGGTCACTGAAGACATCTCTGCCTTTATATGCTTAGAAAGCGATTGTAGTCGGAGTTGTAAGACGATTTCGTTGTGTTCCAAAGCATCACTTGGAACCTCACCCAAACGGCGATCGCCCGTTCAGCTTATCTGGCACGCCGGAGAACTCGCCGGCCGACTGGCTGCACCAAGTCCTTCGCCTTCAACTCGTTCCAAAAGCATACATGTCCATGTTGTCGGCCTTGTCGCTGTTTTGCCAAGCTTCTTGATCGTCAAAAAATTGAAAGTGCGAGCCCAAACTGGACTGACAGAAGCTGTGTAGGGATGAGTCAACCTCGTTGACAGACTTCAGATTGCTTCACCGAGTTTCAATCCAAGCATCAATCTTGTCAACTCAGGTTCAGGGTTTAGGATCATCGTCATCCACCACCATCCTCATCATCATCATCATCATCACCATCATCATCATCATCATCAACGTCATCATCATCATCATGTTCACCATCCAATATCATATCAGTAACACTACCATTGTCATGACTGTTATCAGTTATCATTATCATTGTCATCAATATCAGTATCAGTAACAGTACGTATCATTATCGTTATCATCATCATCATCAGCATCATCATGACCATCCGTAGCCATCCCCATCACCATGACTCCATCATCGTATCATCAACATCTTGTTTTTGAAGACTTGCTTTTGACATTGATAGTTTCGATCGTTCTTCATGCGAATGTCCGTGTCGCTTGTTGAATGGCGTTGTTACACACCATTGCACGCCACACGAATGCATGAAGAGCAATTGTGCCATGTTTGTCTATTCATTATTCGTTACGGGCTCCAGTCCAGCATCTGCAACGACATGCCATACTGTTACGAACCTGTTGTCCACAAGCATGACTCCAATGCAAGCATCACGCATGCATCTCGTCCGTCACTGAGTAATCACTGCGCTTCGAGTCGACATGCCGACGCCTTCCAACTCGTTCCTGGTCCTGGAGAACTCCAACCAAGAGCTCCCCCCTAACTTGTTGAAGAGTGTGTCCATCGAGGTCCCGACAGGGAACAACAACCTCCAGGAGGTGGATCCCCGAGAACTCCTCGCGGAAATCCGACGCCTCAGCCAGCGCGTGGAAGCCCTCGAAGAGATGCTATCCAGCGAGCCTCCAGATGAGGAAGATGTCCTTGAGTCACCGGGTTCTGGACTTCCATACTGTAATGTTCTTTTTCGGGAGCTCCTTAACGGAACTGTTATGAAGCACAGTTTTTTTGCCTTGGTTACCTCAAAAGCCTAGGTTACCGGACAGTGCTCATGAGTCTCATGTGACAAAGCCGGACTGTTCCCAAGCAGCGGTTTCGCAGACGGAGCAGGCGTTTCAATCCAAGGAGATGCTTGCGGGCCTTGACCCGCAGGTGAAGAAGCCTAGTAACCAAAAGAAGAAGAAGAAAACTACTCCTGTGCACTTCGAGGCAAGTGCATGGAACATTCCACTCGTGATTGGATTGGCCGATGTGGGTTGGGTGGATGCCTTGGCAGCCTCGCTCCTCATCGCAGTGAATCTTGGCATGCAAATTGCATTTTCAGCCATTCTTCTGTCCGAGCCTTTCATGGGAGAGACCTTTGACGAGAATGTGGACAGCGCCAGAATCTGGCGAAGGATGCCCAGACATCATAGTCCCCCATCCTGTTCCCTTTGATGGTTTCTTTTCAAGGTTTCTTCTACTGCTCCTGTTAAGGGAGCTAGAAGAGATCTACAAAATCATTTTACGAGGGATCCATGTGGGTTTAGGAATTGAGGCAGGGTTTGGGGTGTAGGGCTGAAAAGTTTGGCCGTTGCATTAACCCGACAGGGCATCCATGGCAGCTGAAGACAGGATTCACAGTTCCCAAACCCTAAACATTAACCCCTACATAACCTGAGATAGGGGTGGGCCGTCCAGCCAGGAGCATGGCCCACGACGATGCCTACGTCGACTTGTCAGGTGCGGAGTGTTCACCCCGTGTAAACGATCCAGAAATCCCGAGGATGACTTGGAAAAGGCCCTATCCCAGCAGTCTTAACCCAAAGAACGGTAGGATACTTTGTTGAGATTTCTGTCTGGATCCTCTAAAGGCCACAGGGACTGATGATACACAGAAAC